TACACACACACACAAACACACACACACACACACATATATATATGCAGGTTTTGATGTATTCGGGTCTTTTCCCGTGTAAGATTGAGAGTATCTTGGCGACGTTTCGACGAGGCCCCACTCGTCATCCTCAGGCTGGTCTCTTCGGCCTCGTGCTTGTGCGGGCAAAGCATGATCGGAGCTGCTGTCCCTCTATAAATACTGGTGGGGGTGTGTGGAGTGATGGCTCTGTTGCTGCAAGCAGATTGGTTGGCTGTGTTGTAATATCTTGATTAGTTGATGGAGCTCAGGAGATCATCCCACAGCCCATTACCCAGGTCCTTACAGCGCAAAAGAACAATAGGTACACAGCCAGTACCTCAGCCACACAGGATGTTACGAAACAGCTGACTAATCTGCAAACATCAACTCTATCAAATAATCAAGATGTTACAACACAGCCAACCAATCTGCTTGCAGCAACAGAGCCAACACTCTACACACCCCCACCAGTATTTATAGAGGGACGGCAGTTCCGATCACGCTTTGCTTGCACAGGCACGAGACTGAAGAAACCAGCCTGAGGATGACGAGTGGGACCTCGTCGAAACGTCGCCAAGATACTCTCAATCTTACATGGGAAAAGACCCGAATACACCAAAACCTGTATATATATATATAAGAAACTTTAGATTTAATGTAATGTCTGAACAATGGGAGAATCTGTGGACGAAAGGTTTAAAATTTACACTTTTACAATTTAAAAGAAAAATTTTATAAGATAATGTATAGGTGGTATTTAACACTAGGCATGTTATCAAGAATGTATAAAGACATTTCAAATGAATGTTGGAAATGCAAATGTAAAGAAGGGACTTTTTATCATTTATGGTGGATATATTATAATGCAAAGAAATTCATATTCTAATACAGAAGATACTTGAAATGAATTTAAGATAAAACAGAAACTATTCTTTTGGGGGTTTAATGGAAAAAGTCTTGGGGGAAAAAATGGAACTTTGATGTTATACATGTTGACTGCAGCAAGATTACTTTATACGCAAAAATGGAAGGACACTTCAATTCCCACAATGGACGAATAGCTGCAAAAGTTGATGGAGTTATCAGAAAAAATGATTGTTAAGTTGATTGTTTTGATAAAGGAAAAACACACAATTACTTTTGTTTGTACTTGGAAACCGCTTCTGGACTTTGTGCTTGAGGTGGAAAAAAACGAAACTTTGATTTTGGGCTTTACCGATTAGACTGATTTATTATTATACAAATGGCTAGTTTATATTATTATGTAAAATTTAAAAGGTGAAGTTTGATATTACTATCTTATTCTATGGCACCAAAGAGAGTCAGAAGTCAATGTCTTTTCTTTTTCCCTTCTTTTTTCTCTCCCCTATTTTTGCTTTTGTATTTTTGTATTTTATATTATAAACTAATTAAAAAGGATCAACATGGAAAAAATTGAAGAACATATTAAAGAATATGCCTTTTGTATCAGAGGTGGGTTTCTGCCAGTGTGGCCTGGATCGGGCAAACCGGTAGTGGTGGCGGCAGGAAGCTCTGCCTACCTGCCTGGAAGTGCGAGCGCGCACAAGCAAACTGGTAGTAAAAAAAAACGGAAACCCATCACTGCTTTGTATAGTGTTTAAAATTTTGAACCATTTTGCTTATTTCTATTAAACTTCTAGCAAAAGTTTATATATGTAGTATGTATGTATGTATGTATGTATGTATGTATGTATGTATGTATGTATTTTAATCTGAACCTTGCAATTCTTACAAAAAATGTATAAAATGTTTGCCAATAGCTATTAAGCTACTATAGATATACTATTTCTTGAATTGTATTACTTCATAAATTACTAATTACTGCACTTTTAAAAATAGTTCTCTAGTAAGAGCACATAACAGGGAAATTTGATTGTCTGACTCTTGCCGCAAAGTGTGAAGTTCCTTCTATTGCACTTCTTCATCCACAATTTTGCCAAATATTTTAAAACACAATTGGTGAACTAAAATCTAACCGTATGCAAAACATAATTTTAATACTTTAAAATCAGACTGTAGAGATTATTTCAATGAGTTAATATAGCTGTACAGCACTTATTGGTTATAAATTTATTTGAAAGAGGAACTTATTTTGGGATAAGCACTGTAGTAAGGAACAGAACTATTTGACTTCAAAATCATTTACTTTTTAATTGTAGTCCCGGAATAATACAATAGCAGAGTTGGAAGGGACCTTGGAGGTCTTCTAGTCCAAACCCCTGCCTAGGCAGGGAACCCTATACTGTTTCAGACAAATAGCTATCCAACATCTTCTTAAAGACTTCCAGTGTTGGGGCATTCAGAACTTCTGGAGGCAAGCTGTTCCACTGATTAATTGTTCTGTCAGGAAATTTAATGATATCATAACTTTTTTTTCCGAGCACATTGTGTAAACATTCATGTAAGAAAACTATCATTACTAATTCTATGTATCCCTGCTTTCAATTACCTGCTTCTGTATATTTTAAGCCTATTTTCTCTTCTTCATCCTTTGCTTTGGGTGGAGGCCAGACAGTCTGGAGTCTTCCTGGGGTCTTGTCATCCTGTTCTGAAGAAATTACATCAGCCTGATAAAACAAAACAAAACCACACAAATAAAAAATATGTTACAATATTCAACATTAACTTTATAAATATTATTGTACATACACTTTCCCCCCTTCTTTCCCTATTTTCATTTTGTAGTACTTTCAACCTGAAGAAGAGGAATATGAAAGCTTGCACATATCTGGGAACTCTTTATGTGGTTCAGATGGAATTTAATCACATTTTTTTCCCACTAGCGGATCATATTCTGCATTCTCTCCTTTTTGGATAAGTTATCACAGCAACTCCATGTAAGCATGTCACCTTTGTATGCATTTCAAACATGGGATTACCAACTATAGAAAATAATAGACAATGCACAATGGCACTAGATTAAATTGAGAGTGTCAAACTAGTGGATGTCCAGTAACAGGTTGTTAACATCCATGGTGTGAATTTGAAAACTTAATAATCCTCAATTTACATTACCCTATAGGTTTATTTTTAAAAGTAAACACATATCATGATCCTGATTTAAATCTCTTGGACAAAAGCAAAATGTTAATGCATTAGATATAAACAAATTATTTTTAAATGTTTTTACAGTGAGTATTTGCCTATCAATATGTTCACTAATCATTGATTTGCTTTTAAAAACAAATTAAAATAATGAGTAAGTTACAAATCTATAAATTATAGGCAAATAAGCCTCTCAATTGTCACTTCTCTCTCTCTCTAAATGAAATATAATCCGACAATTCATGCATACAAGATTTTGCCTACTAATTTATAATCTATATTTATATAATGTACATTGCTATTTTATACAATACTGTTTTTATGCACAACTTTTATCAAGATAATCTAGTATTGTGCTGAGAAAAATAAAATGGTGGGGGAGCTTCAGTTTGGTGGTACATTTTCTGCATCAGAAGTTACTATTGTTATTTTAATTCTTCCCACTCAAGAAACCTAAATATCAAAAACTCCAGGCTTTTGCAACTATATTCTAGACAAAGCACACAAGAGAATCAATCAAACCTACTGGTTTTGTTTCTGTGGCTGCATCACCGGATTTTTGTTTAGACCTCTCAAATATTGCCATCAAAGATTCCTTTTCATGTTTCATTTTGCGTTTTATTGCTTCTAATTCTGAAGTGTCAGCAGTTGTCTCTTTTTTGGGAGGCCGTGTAAATAAAGCTTTAAATGCATCCAGTGCAGATTCTGCAGGACTTGGTTTAATTTCTTCACATGGATCCATTGTCACACAAGATTTCCTTTCTTCAACCTCTCCAGATGCTAGTACTTCTTCATCAATACTTTTCTCTTCAGTTTTAGGCCCTAACAACTGAGAAAGCTGTTCTAGAAAAGTAGGAGAACCTTTCGGCTCTGATATTTTCTTCTTGGTTATTGGCTCAGGTGCAAGGTTCGACTTCTTAACAGGCTGTCGTAGTTTGAGCATAGCTAGATCACTGTCTTTCTGTTTGATTTCAGTGACAGTTTCCTCCGGATCTGCAGACAATCCTTTTTTTCGAACACGTAATCCACTAAAGAAGGCTGGGAGCTGAAAGGACTTTTCACTCGAAGCTGGTTTTGTAGGACAATCAGCACTGCAGTTACTTGAAAGAGATCCCTGGTCTTCTTCAGCTTCCTGAATATCCTTTGCTGTAGCAATTGAACTAATATTTTCCTTGATTGGTGTTCTAACCTCTGTATTTGAATACATTTCTGGTATTGTATCTCCCATTTCTTTTGATGGCCATTTGCAATTTGGTAGAATTGGCTCTGTGTTACCCTCTGCTATAGTACTATGCATTTCTGTATATAGTTCTGTGTCTTCTTTATTTTGATCATTATCCTCCAATGATACAGCACAATTTAACACAGGGTAGTTTGTTACATTTCCATGCGCGTCTAGATCTGTAGCCTCATTGTCTAATTCTGTGTCACTTGTTGTATGAGCCAAAGGACCCTGAACAAGAATGGAATCCTTATAATCTTGTTTGCTGAATTCACACAAAGGAGAGTGGCTAGAATAGGAATCAGAGAGGGACGGCTCCTTCTGCTCCCTTTGCTGTGTTTCCAAGTCTCTTGTCCCATAAACATTTGCCTGATGATCATCTGAGACAAAAGCATAGTCTATAGAGGTATTATCTATGCTGTCATTATCTTCAGAATCAACAAAGTTTCCAGCATAAATTCTGCACACATTTGAAGCACCAGTAATGGTTTCTGCAGGGTCATCTGAAGCCCGGTCATCCATTCCTAAGACCGCCTTCAAAACAAATATGTCTCTTGTGTCAGCTTCTGAAACAGCCTGAACATTACTTTCCTCCTGCACTGTTTCTGGAAGCAGGTCAACTGTATTTAGATCAGCTTCTTCATTTACTTTGTTCTTCTCATCCTCTTTGTCCACATGGCTATCAACATCCCCACTGACATTTTGAAACCCTTTTAAAACCACTTGCTGTTTTGAAGCTCCTGGTTCTAATTTATCTGTAAATCCAAATAGTCCTTTCATAGAAAATTTATTTAAGAAAGTGTGGCTTGCTTCAGTCTCTTTCTCCTTCCCTGGATTAGACAGTTTACTGCAATCACAATTTTTTTCCATGTTGGGCAGATCAAAACACACATATATTCCTGGAACAAGAAGTATTTATTTCTATACAATTACTTCCAGGAAATGTTTTTTCATTCAGTAAGTAAATCGAATCATTATGGAGGAAAACTGTTTCTCCAAATCATACACTGTTTTTCCTACAACATAGTGGTATGAAATGCAAATTCCTGCCAACATTTACAACCTCAGTACAGAAGAAATAAGAAGATTTCTCTCATTTTGCATGCCACGTTTTCTCAGCAGCAACATAACTTACTTTTTACACAAAAGGCCTTTTTTTGTCAAGGCAAATCTGCAAACTAATCGACTGAAAAGCACAAGGCACAGTTACACTAATTCCTACTGTTCAGTGAATTCCAAAGCTTTTTACTTTCTAGAAAATTGAGTTAAAGGTTAGTACTGAACAACTGGTACTTGCAGTTTGCTATTTCCTTATGCCGGCTCAGGAGTCATCAAAATCTGTCAGCAGAAAATTTCAGAAAGATCCCCACTGTGGTCAAAAGCTGCTTTAGCAGAATCTTAGAAGCGGCTACGTATCAGAAATGTGGAAAATCTTGATGGATTGGAATTTATTGGAAGTTCTTTGCTACAACATGCCTTCTCTCCTGGAGAATTCCAAATGTGGAAGAGTGGAATTTACTCTTCCTGACTGTACTGCCCTTGAAGCTGAATAATAATAACAAAAAGAAAACACTCTTCCGCTTTTGGTGCAGGTTTGGTCTGGAATGTAGCTTGCAGCGAGTGAGCATCAACCAAGAGGACTGGTTTCATATTACCGTGTTTCAAACTCTGCACAACTATTTCTGTGGCCCACAAACAGGTACTAATCAGGCAGTTTCACCACACCCATGGATTAGAAGTTATATGGGAGGGCAAAGTAAACAGAGAGAATATTCATTAACTCTGAGAGAACAGGACGTTTCAAAGATGTATTTCCGCTGTCTTTTCACATGGAAATGTACACATGGGTGTTTGCATATGCTTCATACACACAATTATTTGATTTATGAATACCTCTGCAGTTTAGGACTTGGGATCAATCTTATTTTTCATTTTATGAAAGAAAGCATCCTGAACCAATTGCAGACAAGTACGGTTGTTTGCATAAAATGTAATAGTGTAAAGTGGGTCAAGGAGCAGCTGGCTTTTAGCTTACTTGCTTAACATTTATCAATAATTTTTTTTCTAAAATATAAAATGTATTGGACAAATTACATTGGAAGTATGCATTGGCTTTTGAATGAAATGCCATTGACCATCTTCTAAAAACCAAACAAGGCCAAAGCAAAAAGAAATAGTTTAAATGAAAATAGAGTAATTAATAGAAGCTAATATTATTTAATGTAATAATCCATACATTCGATCACGTTAGAAATTAGTGACATGGCTGCTTGAAGAACTTCACCACAGCTTTTGATGGCTTCAAAAACCTGGAAATTGAACAAGTTTTTAAAATATAGTTTTATATGTTTTGTCTATTCTATTAGGTGTAATATTAAATCATTTCATTCCTTCCCTCTTCAATATCTGTTTATGGGACTAGTGTACCCTTGAGAATGGAGAGGGGCACAGTTTCCTTACATGAGGAGAGAAACCTCCAACTCTCTAGAAAGAAAGCCTTTTTGTCAACCCTATAAGGTAGACTCGGCTAAGAAATAAATGCCATAAAGAGGAGGACTACTTATTATAACAGCCACAGAAGAATCATGCAAGCCTAAAGGCTGAATGTGTTTCTTTTCTTCCCTTTATTTTTGTGTGAATTAGAAAATGTATGTCTGAGACATTTTCTCAAATTAGCTTCTTAACTAATCATTGCCTCTACCTCCTTCTTTCACAGCCATCCCTTACACCTTCCCAAATTCCCCTTTTTGAGCAGAGTCATAGCCTGCTCACCTTGATGAACATCCTACTATTCAAAATGTATATAATTATAGTCTAATTATTGTGCTTTGGAAATTAAAACTAGTGAAGTAACGTGTTAGGTGGAATATTTGTAGACAGGGCAATGATATTTTATTTGCTTTGGCTAAATAGGTCACAGTTCTTTCCATCTACTCAGCTTTTATATGAATATAATTATTCAGCTTTTATATGAACATGCATGTATATATGTATGTATGTATGTTTACTTGATAAACATACATTGTACCTACTTTACATTGATAAATAAAGTAAAAATTGTTGCATATGTAATAATGGGGAACAGCTAAAGCCACTGTGATTGGTCCAATTTCTCGGCGGACTGACTGTACCGGACAGCCCCTTAAAAGTGGGAACTGCCAGGCAGTTTGGCCTTCCTATTCTCTGGCATGTAAATAAACAGTTCTCAGAAATGACTTGTCCTGCCTCTTTAATCAACCCCCATCTAATAAAAATGATTATTAGTGTCATAGAAATCTTTAAACATTTGGACTGTGACATTCGAAATACTTTTTTTTGTCCAAAGTTCCATCACAAGGCTAAATTAAATGAGACTGAATAAAATGAATAAATATATCATTCTGCATTGCATTCTAGTACTGGAAAAGAATATGCTAAAGTTTTGTCTTTCTCAAATATACTGTAATTACCAAGGCTATGTTCCTCACACCATGGTATAACTAAACTACAGATTTCAATAAATTTAACAAATTGAAGAACCGCAGGGGATTGGCATAGATTTAAGAAAAGGATTGTGTTGATGGCAAATGATATCCTTCATATGTAATATTATATTATAATATTACAAAGGTATACTGTAGTTTCTATTTACTATATTGTTGAAAGGAATTATGATTCTAATATCACGATCTCATTATCAGATACCCTTTCTGAATGTGCTTCACACATCAAAGCCTAGAATATTACTGTAACAAGGTTATAGTTAAATGCTTCCTGTATTTAGAAGGACTCCAACAATTTAAGAATCAATTAGAAGACGTCCTTCCTCTTACAACAAGTTCATGTGATTGAGAGCTTATTTGAAAGCAAAACATACTGATGAAGCTAAACGAGAGTAAGAAGAACCTGGAGTTCTAAGGTATTTATAGTTGCATGCAAATGGTAAGTCAAATTGTATGTTAAACTATTCATAAAATAGGAAAACATGGATTCAAATTTGCAGAAAGATTTTGTACTGAATTCTGCACCATGTAGAGGAAGTTTCAGCTTCAGTTTTTTCATGGATTCATTCAAACCTACAATTTGACAAGAGATGTTTCAACAAATAAATAATGTTCTTAGAAAATAAAGGCAGTTGTGGGAATCCAGTTGTTTATTTCAAAATATTTTTTTCTCTGAAAAAAAAAATACATCTAAGTTATGCTAATAAAAAGCATAATGCAGGATAGAATGGAGAGACCTCACCGGTCACTCTCTCTCATTCTCCTTGTCATTATCAAACTTTGCAATATCCTACCATGTAAAACAGGGATGGGTTCTGTATGCCGCTACTTCCATTTTGTTCAGGGATACCCCCCCCCCCGGTGTGCTTGCTTGATGTGCACTGTGGGCGCATGCACAGTGCAATAAAATTTGCTCAGCACATGTGCAGAAGGCAAAAACAAGATGGCAGCGCCTACGAGAGAACCAGTTCAGGGACATGGCAGGTCTGGGTCGCTGCAGGTTCTAGTGACCCAGGTCACCAAGTTACTACTGGTTCGGCCGAATCAGTCCGAACTGGTAGGAACTTACCTCTGATGTAAAATAATAAATGAATTATGCAGCACCTTGCATTAAAACACCTAAATTATAAATAATATTTAAATAACAAAATAATAATCTGCTATGGAATATGGTTTTGATAATTGGATACACTCGTGCATTTAGCTATTATTCAAATCTCATTCCAGGATTGGCAGCCTATTTTGTTCAAGAAAACTGTTTTAAAAAACCTGATCTCCTTGTATATCTCAGCATTTATTCTTTTCTTTTAGGCTTATCTATTCATCTTACCTGGTAAATGAGAAAGACAACTGGTGAGCTAGGAGTAAAAAAGTAATAATCTGCTTGAGTAAACTTTAATTCCTGACATCTATGTGGATATGTCATTTTCTTGGCAACAGTACAAAAGTAATTTGCAACTGTTTTTTTCTAGGATGTTTTTGTCTTTCCAACCTAACTTTCAAGCCTGGCAGCCTTCCATTTTAAGTTCTAGTAAGATTTCACCTTGCTTAGCTTCTCAAGATCAGCTAAATCAATGTTTCTCAACCTCAACAACTTTAATCTGCATGGACGTCAACTCCAGGATTCCTCCTGCCAGCTTGTTAGTGGGGAAATTCATATGAAATGTCTTGGGAATCCTAGAGTCATAGGGCTGCAAAGGGACTGGCCCAAGCAAAGAGTCAGGATTTGATTTAATAATAAATTTGATTTGATTTATAAATTTATTAAATCAAATCAAATAAAAAAAAGAGTCAGGATAGAGACACCCTTTTTATGTAGAGTTCAGAACATGCCTTTCTTTGCATAAATCTTTTCAGGACCGGCAGCAGAAGTGCTCTTACCAAATATCATGATGCAATGACCCGTGTCTCATCCACAAGCTAAGGAGCTATATTTCAACTTATTTTTTTTCCAGTCAAGAAAAGAAATAATTGTCTTCTTCAGCCAGGGTTTTAAAGAAATGATATAATAATAGATCAGTGTTCGCTGGGGGGGGGGTGTTAATAGATGACATTTTATATTATTAGCCCCTTTGAAAGCTCAACTGACAGAAATGCAGGAATGCAAGTTACAGAGTAACAGAAATGCAAGTTACAGAGTAAATAAATATAGGTGGTCCTTGACTTACAACCACAATTGAACTCAAAATTTCTTTTGCTAAGCAAGGTAGTTGTTAAGTGAGTTTTATCCCATTTTTTTGACACTTTTGTCCCAGTTGTTAAATAAATTACTGCGATTATTAAGTGAAACATGAGGTTTCTAGGCAGATCTGACTTCCTTCATTGTCTCTGCTTGTTGGAAGTCATATGGGAAGGTTACAAATGCTGATCACATGGCCCAGGGATGGTGCAATTGTCATAAATATATGCCAATTGCCAATTGCCAAGTGCCTGGATTTTGATCACTTGATCATGGAGATGCTACAGCAGTTGTTAAGTGTGAAAACTGGTCATAAATCACTTTTTCAGTGCTGTTGTAACATAAAATGGACACTAAATGAATGGTTCTAAGTTTAGGAATATTTGCAAGTACTTAGGAGGTTCTTAAAACAGAAGGAAAGTTTCTCCTGTTATAATTAAGAGACAGAACCCCCCCCCATCCTTGCTTATTCTGAAGTTTTGCAAACTTTAAATGGACTTTCGTTTTAAAAAATAAAGTCTGTTCAAATGTAAATAAATATAGAAATAATGTAAAAACAGTTATTTGAAAAAACCTGTTTGACGTATTTCTAATGTATCTTGCTATAGTATTTTAATTTGTTACATTATT